GTTTAAAGAATCCCAAATCCGTTCAAACTCTATGAGATGTTAGAATATAGGGGGAATATGTAAATCTTGAATTTCAGCCATGGACATTTGAAATTAATTCTATAAGCATTTAGGGAACATAAGTCATTAATAAAAATAATTATATGCTCTAGGAAGTTTAATCTGGTGCTATCCAAATTGAAAACAAACCAAGGCTGGTACAGAGAGGTTGTTTATCATAAGCCAGGAAGGAGTAAGTGTTAAGTGCCTGTGCCAAGGGGTGGAAAAGAGTCAAAGAAGAACCTGGGTCCTGAGGATGGAGGATGGAGATTCTCAGATGGAGACTCTCCACAGTGATGAGGACCATGATGGTGCAGCTAATTAAGTAACAATCCTGGGGAAAAAAGACAGTCTCTCTCTCTTTTTTCATGTGGCGAACAAGATGGAAGACATTCACTGTGCTTATTATTAATCTATTTTTCTCAAAGTTGAAGTGGTTCATAGGCATAACTCATGATAGGCTTAGTAACATGATAACCAAGAAGTTCATAAACTTCTAAGCTCTTGAGAAATCTTCTGTATGCTGGCTTTTTGCCTTTGATCACAAGACGCATTGGCAAGAAGCAAATCCAACAGTGAGTTGCAGCTTTCACCTGGAGCTGGGGACATTTATCTCTAGTCATTCCATTGTTTCTATTGTTTTTATTCTTAGTGATCATCAGACCTTAATTTAAGACTTTTCCAGGAGTGATCTGGGGATAAAAACAGATGGCGATAAACTTCCAGGAAAAACAGTGGTCCTAAGTGCAGGGTTCAGGAAGACGTGGCCAGAGGCATCCAGGAAAGGGCACAGCAGAAACTTACTGCAAGGTGGAGGAGAAAAGTATAGTTTAAAGTCTCACAATAGAAAGCATTCTGTAAATAGTGGAAGGCATGGGAAATGACTCTTCATGGACAGTTCACAAGAAAAGTGTTTGAATTGTGAAAGGAAAGAGTAAAGAACTTTGACTTGCCAACTTTGAGATGCTGTCAGGAAATCCAGTCATTGTAAACAAATTAGAGATCAGGCCTTAGAGTGTTGATGTGGTTTAAAATTATGATAGCAGATCTAATTGAATATTGAGGGAGTCAATGTAGTCTTGGTGATTCATCGAACAGTTGATGAGTGGAAACCAAAGAAGAAAATGTGAAAAATGATAGAACAATTAATGGAAAGTACGCTGAAGAGTAAGGTTTTACAGTTTCTCTGTACCCTCCAGTCAGAAGAAGGAATTCGGTTAAACAAATCCACTGTCATCAAATCCATTCTTTTGAATTCAGTCTAATTTGTATGGGAATTTCTAATTCTTGCAAAATCAGGTCAGTTATTCTTGATTTAAAATACAAGTTGTCCTAAATTAATACTCTACCTTAATGCTTTAGAGATACCAATGTGCTCTACTTATTAAGTGAATCTCAGAGAGAATATTTAATGAAAAAAATCCAGAAAATTTGAATGACCCTAAATGACCCATTGGGATAGTTAAAAGGCACTGTTCCTTATGCATATCAAAAGTCCCTTAATAAAACAGCATGGCATGCCAGAGGTTCATGGGTTCTGGTAGTCTAGCCAAAATAATAACCTCTAATAGCTTTTTTGGATTTGTGACAATGCATTATTAGAACATTTAGAATTCCAAAACACTATTATTTTCATTTCCTTTTTTAATCTACCAGCAATGACCAAAGGTTATTTGCTTGTACAGTCACCTTGTATATCTTATAGTGTGATCAGCATTTCCTTAAGGACAGACTTGAGAAGATTCAGAGGTTAAATTTAGCCGGGTTGTTAGAATATGGAAAGCATCTCAATTTTATAGGCTATGTAATTGAATTTCATGAGATTTTCCCCAAAGTGATTTCCTTCCCCCAGTCCTGTCTTCTACAAAGTATCTTTCTTAATGTAAAAACTTTATTCTATCTCCATGTTCCGATCTTCAATTTCTAACCAATCCCAATGGTAAACGTATATTAAGGAATTCTAGTTCTTTACCTGTCTACTGACAGTATTGAACTTCACCAGTCACACAACCTTGGTAAAAAGTAAATGCAATCAAAATTTGCATTACTTTCTAAGGAGCTCCATACTGCTCTAAAGATGTAAATTCCTAACTTGGACAGTCATTTCTGATAGTCTGAGGCATTTTTAAATTTCAGAAAATTATTTTCTGAAAGATATATCCTTGATAAGACTATTTTTATTAAACAGGCATTATTGAGTATCTATGTAATAACAATTACAGTTGTTACTGGGAAGAGTGGGTACAGATAAATGGTAGAAATTAAGTAAATATGATATCTTTATTCTAAGAACATAAATTGATAATACTTATATACTTACATAGATAAGTATATGAAAATTCTAAAATAAAACCAACTGTACTGTTAAAAATTGAAAGCATAGTAAGAACACGGAGTAGAAAAAGATGGAGGTCAACCAGATGAGCTTGAGGAATATTTCTTAAATAAAAGGGCATTTGAGCTAGCCTTTGAAGAAATGTATGTTTTCATTAGGATGGGTGTACTTCATTCAAGGGAGACTTGTAGGCAAAAAAGTGTTAAGTGATTATTGAGGAACAAAAAGGCAATTACAAAAAAAAAAGGTTTTGTGAAAGGAGAAGTATGATTGATATAGGATATATCGTGAGGCTATGCATGGCAAAGGTGGCTGAGGGAATATCAAGGAGGATCTTGAATGCAAAACTGAAAAAAATGGCAAGGTAGATCCATTGAAGATGTTTAAGCAGAAGAATTCCATCTCTAGGGTTGTGTTTGAGATCAATTAAAACTTATTTGGCATGACCAGAACAATGAGAAGATAATTTTTTGCATAATTTATTGATTTTTTTTAATTGGAAAAATGATTTTAAAAAGTTGCTATAATGTTTTTAATGTTTACTTATGATTTTTTGAGAGAGAGAAACAGAGAGAGACAGAATGAGAGCAGAGGGAGAGAAAGAGAGACACAGAATCTTTAGCAGGCTCCAGGCTCTCAGCTGCCAGCACAGAGCCTGACACGGGGCTTGAACCTGCTGATTGTGAGATCGTGATCTGAGCAGAAGTCGGATGCTTGACTGACTAAGCCACCCGCGGCCCCCAAAAGTTGCTATAATTTAGATCAATATCATGATCCAGGTAATAAGTTTCAGTATCAGCTATCTTAAATTTAGAGTGAACAGCCTTTCTGCTTATTTACAACTTCTTTGTTTGATGTAGTGTAAGAACTGTTATAATTCAAAAAGAGGCCTTCCTGTTCTCCTTAAACTGACATCTCTTTGAAATTTCAGAATGGGTACCATGAAATCCAAGGGAGAAATAACAGAAAAACTGGATGATGACTACTGATCTCTAGTTTTTTTTTTTTTTGTTAACAATGCCTTTTCATCAGAAATATGTGTCAATTAAAAGTCTTGCCTTATATAATTAATCTTCTCTTAAGAAGCAATCAGGTTTTCCATGTACCTCTTGTAACTTTGCTTTTTATCAACCATCAAATCTCACCATTCAACTTGTAAATGATGATTATTGCTTCTTTTTTTCTCTAATTAGTTATTGTCAATTCATCTAATGTTCACTATTTTCATTAGCAAATGCTTTGGAATGAAATTACTGCTGTAAGCCTAGTGAATTAGTGCAGTTTGTTGTATTTATGCTTTTGTTCTAAATTTTGTTTCTCGTTTTTGAATGCTGAGCCTTGTCATATCCTAATAAAGAACTGAATGGATTAAGAACAGGAACAGAGAGAAAGAACAAACTTGTGGGCCCCGTTATAATTTTTTTTTATTTTTCAACCATAACCGACGGATTTAAATCAATAGTGTTGATTCGTGAGCCACCCCTTTCCCTTAAGCAATGATATAGAAGAGGATTTCTCAAAATTTTAAAAATCAGTAGATATGACATGTATTGAAAACCAAGTAAATAGAGACGGTTTGGGATGTTCTGGTTCAAAGTGAACCTTTAGGAAACAAGGCCTCTCAGACATTTATTTATAATTTCTTCAATAAATATTTTGAAGTTGGACAGAGCATCATGCTAAATGCTGGAGATGAGAATGAGGCAAAACACTGAAACCCTGCAGTTTGTGATTTCGTTGAGGGAGCGAGACATCAAATTGAGAACAACCATTGCACTGGTGCTTGCGCGCGCGCGCGCACACACACACACACACACACACACACACACACACACACACACACGATGCAATGGCAAAGGTAGTAATGGATCCAAAGCCTGGAACAGCATTATGAGAGTGTAATGAGAGTAAAATTAAATAAAGCAACAGCATACAAAAATCTCTTACCCTTATACGGGAAGCCTGATGCTAATTCCTATTCCATTGTATTCTATCCCTTCATAATGAAATTCTGGTAGTGACCTACTAAATGGATTTCAAAATCCGATAGCATCACTAATACCTGCAATTTGACAGAAAAAGTGTTACTAAGGATTTTTTTCATGACAAAACATCTTTCCATCTGCTTTTGCTTATTAAAGTTTTGTTGTGCTGACTTAAAAGTCGTCAGTTGTGTGGATATGGTGACCAGCCTGAGAGGGAACGGGGCTGAAAGCTGTCCCACACCCCTGCTATGCACAACAGCTCTTGTCCTGAGCTCCCTGGCTCTTCTGCAGTGTCTGCTGGTCTTGGCCTTTGTTGTTGTCATTATGTATTCATATCAACTATGAGGCTACTTAACATCTTTTCTTCTGCTTCACTACGTCAGCCATAGGTTAAGGGAGAAAGGAAGATGGCGCTCATAATCATGGGTAAACGCGCTGTTTCGATAGAAAGATGCAGTGAAATTTCCCTGATGGTTCCAGGATGCACTCCTACCCACTCCCCTTCCTCAACCCTCTTTACTCCGTTGCCACAGAAAATTGAACCTTCCAGAATGTTGTTTTGTATACCTCACTGCCATTTCCCATTCTCCCTGTCGCCACCCCTCCCCCCCTTCCTGGGATAGTTACTTCTTTAGAACTGAAGCTCCCTCCTCCTGGTCTCTGAGCTGGAATCCCTAGAGCGGCTCTTTTCCCCAGCGGGCCCCACCTGAGCAAAAGACTAAGGTAAACAAATATGCAGTCTTGCTGCGAAAAGGAAGGACAATAGGGTTGGAATGGGAGTGAGAAATGGATGAAATGCTATATAGAAGAAGGATGAAGCCTGTGGACTCATTATTTCAGGAATCCGGTGAACTGTTCAGGACTTCTTCAGAAAGCTGGTAAATATCCCATCTTTTTAGTGAGAAGAGACTGGCTTATGTTTTCCTAACATTGTGTTGCTAGAGTGCACCTGCTAATTTATGTGCAGATGATGGGTAACGTGAAAATCTGTCATTTATTTTTAATTGTTTAAAAATGAAATTAATCCAACATTACTCAAACTTTCTGCCCTGATCCGAGCAGAAACTTTAAAAAGGAAAAGTGTGGGTTTCATGTTTAGTCCCAGAGCTGTGGAACCCATAAGAACTCGGTAAAAATACTGGCCAAAATTACGTCCTTTTATAATTATTTGTAATTGTGACAAGAGCTATGCACAAAAAAGGTATGATGTTTATACAGACACATACACACACTATTTCACATAATAATATATGAGTAAGAGTAACCTAAGAAGAAAATTGCTACTAAATAAATATTTATTAAACTTAATGCTCCTAATCTTTGTTCATTTTAAGCTTTATATGGAGAACTCAAAATATTTTTATTTAGGATTGAGTCACTAAAAGTTTCAGGCAGAAATAATTTGATAACATAATTGCTAAGTGAGGAAAAGTGCTATAGGGAATTTCTCTATTTCAGGCACGGGAAAACAACTATCTTGAAAAGGGTATTTTATTTAAAAAATTTGTTTTCAATGTTTTATTCATTTCTGAAAGAGAAAAAGAGAGAGAGGGAGAGAGAGGGACAGCATGAGCAGGGGAGGGTCAGAAAGAGAGGGAGACACAGAATCTGAAACAGGCTCCAGGCTCTGAGCTAGCCGTCAGCACAGAGCCCAATGCAGGGCTTGAACCCACGAACCAAGAGATCGTGACCTGAGCCGAAGTTGGATGCTGAACTGACCAAGCCACCCAAGAGCGCCTGAATGTTACTGTTTGAACATGACCTTTGGAATCAAACTTGTTCAGCCTAGTCCAGTGGTTCTTGGTGTGGGGTTGGGGCAGCCAATAGCTTCAGTATCACCTGGGACCTGGCTAGAAATGAAAACTCTTGGGTCTTGTGCCAGATCTATCAAGCCAGAAACACTGGAGGGTCCATTAATTTGGGTTATAAAAAGCTCTCCAGGTGATTTTGAGACCTTCTAAAGGTCTCACCAGCCTGGCCTATGTGAACTTGGGGTGATGTACTTAGGACTTCAGTGAGTTGTTGACAGAAACCATTTTAGTGATGTCTCTAGGTTAGGTTTGTGCCTACTTTAACCCAACAGCTTTAAAAAAAATGTTTATTTTTTTATTTTGAGAGAAAGAGAGTGAGAATGAGCACATGCAAAAGCTGGGGAGGGACATAAAGAGAGAGAGAATCCCAAGCAGGCTCCACGCTCTCAGCACAGATCCTGACACAGGGTCTCAATCCCACCAACAGCCAGATCATGACCTGAACTATATAACCTCAACCTACTGAGCCACCCAGGTGCCCCAACCCTATAGCTTTGTGGGAAAAGTTACTGCAGAAGGAAGCAGAGGGAGATGTCTCCAGGATTAACTTCCTCCCATTAGCTCTGCCTTTCTGATGTTTTCTAGAGGACTGTTGAAGAGCAACAGAGGGGTGGGACAGTGCCATGTCTCAGGACACAGGGTGTTTTTGGTCAGGAAATGTATGTAGGGTACATATGGACTTAGCTCCCTCCAACTGAACCCCACAGCCCCACACTGAGAGCAACACTGGGGAGGAAAAGGAGAATATTTTCCAAATTGCTGAAATGATGGAAGAATGGGCACAAAAGGAGAGTGACGTGTCATCACCTCACAAAGTTGCAGGACCCCCAAGGGTAGTTTGCTGAGCCTGCTGTCCTATGTCTTGTAGAATATTCACCAGCATCCCTGGCCTCTACTTGCTAGAAGCCAGGATCCATCCCTCCTGGAGTCATGGCAGTCACAAATGTCCACAGACATTGACAAATGCTTCTTGGGGAGCAAAACTGTCCCCACTTCGATTGGGAACCAATGCCCTGTGACATTTGCTCTCACTTCTCCCATCTCACGGTGCCTACTTTCAGCACCTGTATCCTGGCTCCTATTCCCTGGCCAGAAGAGCCATCATCTTCTGAGCCTTTCTTCTCCTGGCTGTGATTTCACCACCCAGGTAAAAAGAGGAGACTCAGATTCTTGAGAAACTTTGTTGCGATGTATGAAAAATCAGTCAGGAGTGACAGCGTAGGTAGTGAAGCCAAAAAAGCAGTGATAGTTTTTATGCTCCCGGCAACAGCCGACTTTGAAAGACTAGCCAAGGATGGGAGCTATGGTAGTAGATGAGCTGAAAAGAAAACTGCCAGCTATTAGCGTTTCTGTAGGAGGTAAATGTTTCGAGCTTTGATGCTACAGAGAATTCTCTGAAGACCTATGCAAACTGCACTGTGCGTAAGCCCGGAGAGCAAGCAGACACAGGCACTGAGCCTTGCCTACTGCTGAGCTGGGCTTATGGTATTAGGTAGACAGGAGCTCTGCTTCCAAATGCCACTGATTTCCTCCATGGAGACATCTGCTTCATAAGTAACCTTTGAAATAACCTCTGGATTTATTTCCAGCTACTGCACATCTAAATTCATTATTGTCAGTCAAAGCAATTTCGGCTGTATTAAAATATAGAAGAGAAAGAAACCCCATCAGAGCCCACTTTGGGGTGGGTTGGCTGGACACAAAGCTCTCCTTCAGGATCTGGTACGGTATTTACTTGTTTTCCTACCTTTCCCATCACAGTTCAATGTCTCTGGGCCCTCCCTTTTGAGAAAACTATGGGATAACAGCCGTTACCTCCTCTGAGTTCTAGCCGTTCTCCAGAGATCCCTACATTTATACATTTTTGGTGGAAAAGGCCTTAGCAGTTAAAGGTTAGTCACTAGTATGGGAGAAAGACGACACTGCAGTCTGGAAAAACATCACCAGCGCCTCTGAAACCAAACATAGACAAAAATCATGGAGTGCCATCTGGTAGCTAATACCAGTCTCTTACTTCTGTCTCTTCTGCTTCCTATCAAATTGGACAGTCTCTGGGTGCTGAGTGGGCTTTCTCTGGCTCACCTTCCCTCTCTCTCTGGGAAGAAAAAATCTCGGCAGACTCTCTGCTTTGTACTGGGAGTCAGTAAACTGTGGCCTGGCCCTGGCCGCAAGCACGTATTGGTGCCCAGACAAGATGGCAGAGGAAGTGCACAGAGGTGCTGGCCTCCAGGCCCACAGGGGGCCCTCACATCTTCCCTTGACCTCTACTTGAGCCAAGAACCTCTTCTCTGCTTTCTCATAGGTAACTTTCAACTTGACAGAATACAAATCTGTATACAAATTTTAATTAGCTTGGATAGACCACTTTTATCCCACTTTTGAAAGTAACCTGTGGTATTTATGGTGGTACTGTCTGTTCACGGGCATTTAAAGGTTTTTATAGCTGTCATTTTCTGTTAGTCTCCAACCCCCTCTCGTACACTTCCCCCTTATAATCACACCCACAGGAACAACTAAATAGGCAGTGTTTTAAACAGATCTTCGACTGTCTTTGTGTACAGTGGCACATCTGTTGGTAGCTTTGGCAGAAGCATAGCTGACATTCATTCACAGCATGCTTGGTATAAGAGGAGAGGAAAGATTCCATTGGCACTGGAAAAGAAATTTGGCCTCAGCATTCACAAAGCTGTCTTTTCCTCTCAAGAATTTTCTTTTGACCCATATTAATTGACCATCATGAATTTAAATTTTTTTAATGTTTATTTATTTGAGACAGAGAGAGAGAGAGAGAGAGAATGTGGGAGGGGCAGAGAAAGAAGGAGACACAGAATCTGAAGCAGGCTCTAGTCTCTGAGCTGTCACCACAGAGCCCGACGCGGGGCTGAAACTCAGGAGCTGTGAGATCATGACCTGAGTCAAAATTGGATGCTTAACCAACTGGGCCACCCAGGTGCCCCTGACCATCATGGAGTTTAAATCAAAATTTATGGATTTCCATTCCATAATCCTGCTGCCACTTAGAAAAAAGGCACATGTTTAGCAGTATACACATAATGAAGTTATACGTGCCAGAAGAAGAATGATAATCCTTGGCCTTTAAAAAGATAACAAACAGATTTTGTTTATTTTATTTGAGGAAAAAAATGGACTAGTCATTTTGTAAGTCCATCATAGAAACCTAATGGAATTTATTTTTAATGTTTTATTTATTTCTAGGAGAGAGAGAGACAGCGTGAGCAGGGGAGGTTCAGAGAGAGAGGGAGTCACAGACTGAAACAGACTCCAGGCTCTGAGCTGGCTGTCAGCACAGAGCCTGACGCGGGGCTCGAACTCAAACCGTGAGATCATGACCTAAGCGAAAGTCAGACGCTTAACCGACTAAGCCACCCAGGTGCCCCTTAAAACCTAATGGAATTTTTATTTCATCCCTTTGATATGACTTTTATTTCCAAATTTTTCTGGGTAGTTGAGTGGCCCCTTTGTTCCTCTCCTAAGGGACACTCTTTGGGGGCAGATTTCAGCCAACTTCCACAAGGGCCTATAGAACTCAGTGAGACAATTGTTATGAAATGACTTCCACCATCAAGCCTGCTGAGTGTGAGTTCATCAGTGGTATTGAAACAAGAACTTCCCTTAAAAGGTAACTCAAAACCACACAATAAATAGGGAAGTACAGCACCCAGGTAAGGAAATGAATGGTTTCCAGCAGAGCTGGGCTAAGAATCCAGGGATAAAAGCAGTTCTAACCTCGCCTACAAAACTAATGATTGGTGACACCAACTTTAACTGAAATAAAAAGTTTCACTCACTCAGCTGCACACTTACTCCAAATTCCACATCATACTTATGTGTTTTTTTGGGTTTTTTTTGCAGTAATTTTCTTCACAGATTAGAACTTCCTCTTTTTCTTTCAAACATGAGTTGTCCCATTTGCCAGTAGCTGGTAATGAATCATAAAATAAGACAATGGATTTCTAATTTCCTTTCTTATTAAAAGCATGATAAATAATGCATTGACCCTTTTAGAGATGAAATGGGTATTAGTGTTAGTCACATTCTCAAATCCC